GATTACCTCTTTGGAGATCCATTCTCCCTGTTGCCTAAACTTGGAATTTCCTGTTGCGTGCCACCACATCAGCTGTGTTTTACTTGAACTATTTTTTAACTGGGATCTTCCCACCCAGATGGTGAGCTTTGTCTTTCAAGGGTTCTGTCTCTTTTTATTTTTTATTTTTTAAGCTGCACCAGCGTGTGCTTGGCATATAGTAGACATTTCACTATTGGTTAGTATACGCAAACTTGGGAAATTAATAAATAAGGAAACTCATTACATCTGTGGATGATTCTATAGTTGATTTCACAAGTAGCAACTCGTAGGGCAGGAGAAAACCTCAAAATAATATCAACACATTGGGAAGTGGCCCTTAAAACGCCAAAAAAAAAAAAGAAGAAGAATCTAAAGTGGGGAACATAAAATTGGCATTATGGTAATATCAGGACATGCCTCTAAACGTTCATTTTCTGGTTTCTGTGTGCCAAAAATTCATATATTGGGTTGTCGGAAAAGTTATCACACATTATTGCAACAAAAACCATAGAAAAAATATGTCATGACTTTTCCAACAACCCAATATCTATTTCTTCCTTCAAGACTCAGCTGAAAACTAACCTTATACAAAATAAAGGCCTTATCTCAATATCTTGTCTCACTACTATTCAATCATTATATCCTTTCAAGTATAATGCAAGCCATTTCACCTATTATTCTTCTTGTCCTTATTTGCACTTAATCATTTGTTGCTTTGTTGTTTTTTCCTAGTTCTATAAATTTCATTTTTTAGCCCAACTAGATTAAAAGTTTCTTTTGAGCCAAACCATAGTTTCAACCTATTTTTTTTTTCATTTCCTTACCAAGCTGCCTCCTACACACACATGGCATTAAACTTATGTGTTTATTATCTGTTCTCCTTCCTAGACTGAGCCTCCATTACATGGAGGGGCTTTCTGAGTCACCACTAGTAGGTGCAGAATAAGCATTTACTGATATAAAATAAAACAAGAGTCAATAAATTACATTGGACTGCATTAAAAATAAAAGCAAAAACCAGATACAGATATTCAAAGAGTGTCCTGAACAGACCCATTAAAATATCTTCTCCTTTTTGACTATAATTCCTTTTTTGTTTTATGAGTTAGGATGTCCTCACATTTAATAAATACATTAAAGAATTGAATATTTTATGCTAACTTTTTGACTGCCAGTTCTTTGTTCCTTGATTGGTGATAACATGAAGTTCAATTTATATAATTTTTAAACCTTACACTGTGGTATGGTTTGGAAAACTTTCTAATCACACAGAATGACAACCAACATCAATAATTTTCTCTTTGATCACATTTTCTTTTCAATATAAGGGAGCAATGAAATCAATATAGTATATAATAATATAAATATTATTTGAAACATGTCAGTATTTAAGTTGAATATAAACATAGTGTTTTACATTCTTTGAAGATTTACATATTCTTGAAATGAAGTATTATTATTTTCTTGGACATTTTCACATATTATTAAATTAGTGGTCCAAATTGAAGGACTAATGAATACAAGTTTAAGAATTATTTTCTTTGCCTCTCACAGGTTCTTACCATGTGCAAAGTAGAGACTTAAACAAATATATTGCTTGTCTAATAATTTTCTCAGTTTCAGAAAATCACTTAGTCAAAATACCTGGCTCACACCTATTTTTTCCTGCAGTATTTTCTTCTGAAAATTTCTAGATACAGTCCATTCAATGAGTAGCTCTTTTTATCTGAATCTAGTGATGTGCTAATATGCTTTTATAGTGTGTTCATGTATATACATTTATCATGTCTTTTACAGATGTTCTTAGAAGTTAGTTAATGGTTGTTTTCAGTGGATTCAGTAATACTTAGAGGGACTTGGTTAAAGAAAGAAAGGGATTAAAATTTCTTAAAAGCTGTTCTGCAGGGTGTAAACCCCAGACAGACAGTCTCATTCACCCTTCTCATCTATCCTGTGTGGTCCTTTTAGCGATGCATTTTCAGATGAGAAAACTGAGGCTCAGAGAGAATAAAAAGCTTACCACAAGGTTTCAAGATTTGAATTTAGATCTAGGTAGCCCCCAACTTTGGATTTCCTTTATCACACTAACTTTCAATTAGTGTAGAAACCAGAGTGAAAATAACACTGAAGGGAAGGAAAAGGCCGTTGCAATTATTATCCTCTCAGAGCTGAAAGTTCAGTTTCTATGTGCAGTCTTTGCCCACTAGAACAGGAAACTGAGAACCATTGTGATGTCAATTTATAGACAGGGATCATTTAGTAAGTTTAGTGTAGTCTAACTGTAAATTGTCTAATTACATCAATAAAAATTAAGTAATGCTAGCAATTTTATGGCTGAGGAAATAAAGGCAAGAAGTTGAGAAGAAAGCCAGTGGGACTTGGTAGACATCTGGATAACATGATCTTGTCATTATTCCTTAGGATTTTCTACAAAGAAAATTGGTTATAATTTTGATTTTTTATGAGTCAGTTATACAGCGATAAATATGGAAAATAGAGAATATCTCTGTGGATCTCATTCTCCAATTTTCTACTTATGAAAATCATGTTTTCCAACCTCCATATCAAATGTATCACCTTGTCTTTTTAAGTCAGCCTACTAGATAAATCTAGAATACTTCCCACACTTTCTTATCTCTACTGCTGCCACTCTATTCCTCATTAGCAATACCAAAATGCTTATAATTTCTGGAAAACACTAGAAAGCTTTGTACCTTCATGCTATTTGTACCACTATGGCCTCATTCTGAAATATTTTTCATTTGCTCTTTTTATAAATATTACTTACTTTTAGTTAAATACCTTTTCAAGTATGAACCACTCTGCAAATTCATCCCATACTCTCCAGAGAGATTTAATCAAACTGTGCTAATAACAAACTTCAAATGTGGTATTATCATATATTGCCTACTGTATATTTGACTGACTTTATTACAGGTCAATCTCTCCTTTTACTCTGTGACTTCATTGTGTGGACAGCCACTCCAAAAATTGGTTTAATGAATGAACATACTAACGGTTGTATTTAACTTATACAACTTTTAACATTTAACTTATATTACATTTAACTTATAACTGGTGGTCTACAGAGAAATATCTTGAAGACTGCAGTTGGTATATAATATAAGAGACAAATGTCCTTTAGTAATTTGAATTGGAAACAATAACAAATAAATGGAAAGATAATGACTGTTTCAAATATACATATGCTTCTTTATTTCAATGCATTTTGTCATATCCAATACTAACATTTTTAGACACTCACGGTGACAATATAATCTATTTATTGAAAAGCAGCCATTAATTTAATTATATTTTATTTTGTCAAAATTATTAGATGGACAAATTATAAAAGTTGTAAAAGTTTATATCCTAAAATAATAACTATTTATTTAAATTATTACTGTATATATTTACTTTGGAAGGAAAGATTAAGAAAATAAACAAAGATATTTTGTCAATATTGGTAATTTATTATGTATTATAAGTTTGAATTCAACTATAATTAAAAGATTACATTTCTCTTTAGAAGATTTTTCATACATAATGTTTGCGGATGTTATCTTAGAGCAATCACTGCTAATTAGATGGTTTCATAAAGAAGGAAAAAAAAAAACCTGGCTTTGAAATCAATATCAAAATAAAATATCTTTGGAGTTGATTTCAAAGCCTTTTTAGCGAATGACACATTAATCAACTTGATAAATCTTATATGCTATTTTTAAATTTTTAGAATTATTTATTGATTCTTAGATGGTAATTTTGGAAATAAATATTCAAATATATCCATAGGAGTTAAAGTTCTTTTCTGTTTCCGCCTACAAATTCCAGGCAGTGCTTCCTGGATCATATTTCTGGAATGCCGTGTGAGGCCAATATATGCAGCAGTAATTCATGTCCATTTAAACTTGAACTATAGATAGGGAAAATTTATGCCCTAGATTTTCTGAAAGTGTTTGTATTTCATCCATCCTGTCCTTTGTCCCCATAAGCACACCAGCCCTTCTCATGCCATGAATCCTAATTTTTGATTAGAAAATATGGTAACTGAGAGTATCAGTATTGCCCCTCTGAAAGAAAGGTGACTTGTGCAGTTTAGGTTTCATGCTAGTTGTTGAATGTAACTTCCTATTTGCTACTTTTGCACTAAACCTCTTTGCTTCTATGATATATTCAGTGAGTAATCAAGGCAGTTTTAAAATGTATATTGCTTATACTTTACAGTCAAGCATTAAAGGGGTACATGGATATGATCATGATTTTGGTTCTCAAAACAAAATGCAAATGAGATATTACACACATACACCTTTTTTGGGGGGCTGTGATCCCAGGCTTCTCTCTAAGGCTTTTTTTCCTATTTTTCTGATATTACAGCAGCACGGGTGTGTCCTGATTTCTTGAGACAATGCCTCCCACCTTTGGGTCATTTTCACTGTCAAAGAAATAAAGGTAAGCAAACCCTTCTTTTGGAAAGTAAGACATTACATGCCATAGTGCGGACCTCCAAAATATTAAAAATGAAGAATGTCTACTCTTGCTTAGGAATTGTATTCCCCCCCCGCCACACACACACTATTTAAAAACTTTAAAAAAAAATTCACTCAAGAATTCTATTCCACATTGAGTTCCATGACTTACAAAAGGAGAAACAGAAGTGAACTTGAAATCTAAGAGCACATTTAAGTAGGGTTATTCTGTAAGGTTAACTTGAGAATGATTTAATCTGAGATAGTAGACACTGTGTCTCGGGAGCCTTCATGTTTCACTAAGAAAACAGAAATAGTGTTGAAAAATATTTGGAGAATGAGTGAAAGACAGAGGATAGTCTTCAGGAACTTCTACTGAAGTTCACGAAAGTTTTCTATTTGAACACATAGCAACAATTTGATTTCTCTTTAGATGGATTTCGTGTCTTTTCACGGAGAGCAGATTTGCTAGCAGGTGAATGAATATTCATTATCCCAGAATAGTTTACTCACCTCTTTAGGGGCATCAGCTTCAATGAATTCAGAATAAATTTTCTTGGCTTTGGAAGCAATTTTTTCGGCACTTTCTGTTTTCTTGAAGTCTTCACAGGCCAGCCAGAACTCCACGTTTTCTTCACTATACTCTGATTTTAGAAATGTTCGAAAGGCATCTAGACCAGCTGTAAAATATATAAGGCAAAGTTTTACATCATATAGCTCAGTCATATGACCAAAGTAAGTATATTGTATGGTGTGAGCATGTATTGGGTATTCAGTGGCAAATACTTGTCATCCTTCTAAATATAACATTTATACATTTTAGTTTTTAACTTAAGAAAGTTTGGATCAGTAATCACAAACCTCAACTATCGTATCTATATTTCTATAATTAACACCATTAACAAAGAAAACCTGTACTTTTCTTTCTAGATGTGCAAAGTCACAGAGTTATGTGTAGGGGAAAGTCCTAATGGCAGTTATTTCATAGAAAACCCCATGAACTTCGCTTTTCAGACCCATTGCACAGTTAATGATGTTACTAACATGCGGTAAGAATGTCTTTGTTGCCATGAATTGGTGATAAAATACGATTTGATGGGAAGGAGTTAGATTGTGTTCGACTGGGCTTAAAGCAGTTGAGGAAGGGCTGGCCTGTGTTAGTACTGGGTGAATATACTGGCCAACTCTAAACCGAGAAAGTAACTGGCCAGACATTCGGTATGGACGTTTCTCTTTTTGTGATGATGGTCAACTTTAATTCACTAAGCAAATGAATGGGCTCTTCCCCAGTGTTGCCTTAAGCAAAGCACTGAGGCCCCCTCCCCCTTTTGCCCCCATGGGAGCTGCTCTGGCTTAGCTTGTGCATGTTCTCTTCCTGCTTTCAGCATCCTCCCAAGCATGCGTGTCTCCACCAGCATTAGACTAGGAACTGCAGATGGGCCCATTGACTTCCAGGCTTACTGATGTGTCCTCGACTCATGCATGCATTTTTGGTAGATTGAATAACAACACGTAATGCTTGCAGTCTCAGATGCCCATCGGTCCTACCTCTCCTCATATCTTACTTTCTGTCAGACTTATACATTTATGATTCCTTTCTCTCCTACATATTTGAATTTGTGATCACCTGTCTAGAGCCTTCTTTTCTCTCCTCTCCTCATTAAAACGTGCCCCGAAATACTCATCTTTGGTTTACCTACAGCTCATCTGAGAAGGTAATATTGGCTAAATCTTTTAGGGCTGAGTATGGTTAAAAGTGCCTCTAGGTAGATCTGTTAGAAAGATCATGATTAGATTCCCGGAGTTGACGGAACTCAACCAGTGCTCTAAGTTCATGTCTTTGTTCCCGTTGGCCCCCTTCCGACAGCAGTGTATCTGGTCATAGGTGAGACTATGTCCCTCTCTGAGGAAGAAAACGTCCGTCAGCACTGTGCCTCTCAGAGGGACCTCCCTTCTAGAATGTGGGCAGTTTTCTCCTCCACTTGCCAGGAGGGCCCCACTGTGTGCTCTCAAAGCAGCTCTTCCCTGATTCCAGGTTTGGAGATTAGATACTTCCTGTTTCAAAGGAGGGAGACGTAAGTTTATGGGGAACCAGGGAAGGAAAATTGACTAGAGAAAAAGAAAATGCGAGAGAAAGGTCTGTGGAAAAGGGCTTAAGTCAGATGTTTGTAGGTTAGGGTAGGCAGGAAACACAGAGAGGGTTAGGAAGAGAAATTAGAAAAGGCCCTGAAGCAAGGTGAAAGTGTCTAAAAATACTGGATTAAAATAGAGTTAACAATGTTTTTTATATTTTTCTGATAAAGAGTTGAAATAACAAGTCAATGCAGAATGTTATTGGGTACCAATTAAAATTCTCAGTAGAAATATTGGTGACTATGGATGCCATTAATATGTGAGTGCTATAAAAAATTCAATTAACTGTACTCTTCTTGAATTTGCAAATACACCCAAGAAGCTTCTGTAACACAAATTTAGGTCGTGAAAATCTTAGTAACAAAATTTTCTATGAGTTAGATCCAAACAATGATGAATTTGAGGGTCCTAAACAGAATTTATGTTAAAATATATTTTATATAGAAGATAAAGTAATACTTTACTAATACTGAAAGAATATTATAGATTCATTAATGCACATGAAGCTTTCTCCCATGAGGATGATCTAAATACATCCCAGAGAGATGGGAAGAAAGAGATCAAGAAGCAATTACTGTTTCCTCCCATCCTGCAATTGCGGTGAAAGACTTACCTGAGCTAACAGTTACCATTGTAGAACACAATGGAACAGAGTAAACAATTAAAACCGGAGCTAGTCATCTCTTTCTGGGACATACTATTGCCTGAACTACTCTTCTATTCCATACATACAATTTGAATGTTTAAAAGGTTTCAGGAGACTTTGGAATAATATGCTACCTAGAATTAAAATCCTATCATCTAAGGTCACTCCCTGCAGGATGGAATGGCTGGTGGGTAGCTCCAACAGGGGCTGACGGAAGGAGGAGTCAGCCGTAGTGGGTGACATCTGCTCTAATGCTGTGCCCAGTACACGCAAGGCATATCCTCAAGTCAACAAAACAATTCGATAATGGTGTGAGTCGCTGAATCGTCAAGAGCACTGAAAAGCGTGGAAGCTCTTTCTCTGGTGTCATAAAATGCAAGACCCAAGCAGCTGTTGAGGCGAATGTGTGGCTTTCCCACCCTCCGTGGGCATGAAATATAAAACCCCAGCCTTCATCCCACGGCCTTCCATCCTCTGTTCTGTGTGCTGTCACGTAGAAGTCCCCGCTCTGGAGCCGGCAATATCACCACTGGCAGAAGTACTGTGTGTTCTTAGCTAATCTGACCTCTTCCACTGGTTCTATATTTAAAGGGAAAAAACGTGCCACTCAAAACTTACAAAATGCCGTTCCATACCCTCATGTCTTTCATGTCTCTTGTTAGTGGAATTCTAGGAGTATCGTGACTTATTTTATGCCTATGCTGTAGGATTTAGTTATTTAAGAATCATGCCAGAGTATAATTTCATCTAGTTCAAGCTAACATTATATATGAATGAACGTCTATGAAGAATTTATTCAGCTTCATATTTTAAAGTTTTCTAATATTCTGATATTTGCTTTATGAATTTAAAATGGAAATACTATTGTAGTAGTACAAACATATGACATTTAAAATATTTTCTCTATGTATCTCCATAGTGTCATGTTTCCCATATGAGATAGAGCTGCTGCAAAGCGGGATTATTTCTCCCAAGAACAGAAGTTGTAGATACCTTTGTAAATGACAATTTTGTATCAAATTTTGGGATATTTTATGTATAATTGGCCAAAATTACCTTATTGAGCCATCATATCAAATATAAATATGTATTAACATATGTACATATTAATATAGACACATAATATAAATATGGTATTATATTTACTAAACATGAGAATGGCTCAGTTGAAATAAATACTTAAAACTTTTTATTTTAGTCTATAGCACATAAAAAGGAAGTGATTTGTTTAAATTTTCAGCGGTTTGTATGTTTCAACTTGTGACAAAGGTAGTTATTATACAGATCAAATGATAATGGGTCTAAGGAAATGACAGATTTCTTGCTTGCTCGTTGGAATTTCTATTTTAATATTTGCAGTTTCTATAATCTTGTTTTATTTTAGGCTCAACCTAATTGCATTTCAACTTTGGGCCGGTATAAATTTGTGTTACTGTGGAGAATCTTCTAGTTCAAAAATTGATCAAAGTCACATTATATAATGTGTCTATAACTTTCAGGATTTAACGACTTACTTAGTATTGTATTTTTAAACCTATCCTTACTTGGTTCTTACCTTGGTTGGTTAAAAGAGTGTCCATATTTTCAGACCAGGCCACTGTGTCTGTCGTCGGTGACCTGTGGAAACAACAGCTACCCTTGACGATAGCATTGTGATCTTTTTCTTTTATAACCTATAGTAATATTTGAGTTATGTATATTCGTCGAATTACATCATTTAAATGAGCTTTGCAACATTAATCAAACTGCAAAAGGTCAGTAAGTATTATGTAATTTTTTTCACAGCGGACAAGCTATGCAACACAAAGTAGAATATAATTTGACATCAGCAAATTATTAATCTAGCTGACAGTGTTAATAATATTTGAAAAGCCTTGGATTCTAATAGAGGTGTCAGAGAGAGATGGCTCATGGTTCCATGGAGCATAGTGAATTTCTTCTCAACTATGAATATATTAGTTGTTAATTCATGTGGCATTACTCTAGTCTATTTCTGAAAAGATATCACCATAACAGTAGCAATGAATGAACTGTTTGCCAAGTTTTCACAATATGTGAAATTATCTGTTTCATAATTATGCATGTCAAAAAAGTTTTTAAAAAGTTCTTATTAAGGATGTCTCACATGTAATGATCTTGAAAATGTTTGTATATTTTGAGAAATCTTTATCCCACGCTGAGACAGTTTTTATTTCTCCTTAGACTGGTATGCTTCTAGTTCTGGGCTGATTTATTTAAATCTAGAAATCTGCCAGCAATATCTTTTCCAAAGCAGTCAAAAAATTTATAGACATAAACCATCTGAAGAAAGTATACTTTTGGGGATGTGATGTAGAAATAATACATCAGCTTTAAAATATAAACTTTTGAGATGCAAGTATATCATGCATTATTCCTCTTAGTAAACAAAGATCGTGACGAAATAAGCCCCATCCATAGAAAATACCTGCTGCTCAGGGAAGAAAAAAAAATTGGATTATGTACCTATGATATGCAAATGACTTCATTATGCAAAGGGACGGTTTTATTGAAAGTTTCCTTTAAAATGACTGATAATAAAATGTCTCATATCTAGTCATTCTGACAAAATCTTACATTTGCATATCAAAGTGACTAATCTTAAATGTGCTAGTGTGAAGCATCTCTTAAACTTGTATGGTCTATTACTTCTTGTAATTTGTTTTTTTATTATTTGTGTTAATGTTGATTGCACTCCCTTCTCCTGTGGCCGTGTCAGTTGTATTTTCAGATAATAATGGCTGTCCTCATAGAGGATGCATAGAGGGGGCTGTGTGATGGGCATTCAGGCTGCTAGCTTCCGTTAATTACATTTCCCGTCTCAAATTTTCTTCCCCCGTGGGTCGGCTGATTTTCCTTTCCCCCTTGACTAACCAAATCTTGGGGACACAAGATTTCCTGTGAAACAATTTGAAATCGTAGCTTTATATTCAAATGGGCAATTTAAACAAATGGCATTGTTCCATTTCCATCATTCATAAATGGAGAATGGGACCCCACTCTAGATTTAATTTTGCATCGAAGGGCTTTTGAGCACTGTGACACTTGTTACTCTAATAAGCTTGTTATAAACCCTATGACTTATAGAAATTCTATAGATCGTGCTAAAATGATCACATAGTCACCTACAATGCATCCGTAGAAAAATGTCATCTCTATTTGTAGATTGGAATTTGGTGGTTAGCAGAGTGTTGGAGTTAGAAGCTTCTGTGGAATGTATGTTAATGAATAAGGCAGAGAGGCATTTGCAGCCCAAGGCTGGCCACACAGCACACTGATTTTGAGGAACAACCATCAAAGAAAAACACTGAGAAAAGAATCTGGGCAACGTCATTCAAGCATGAACATATACATACTCCGCCTTTGGTATGTCAGTTCTCTCATGACAAGAGTCAGAGTCATTTTCCAGCACCCAGGCCAGAATGTCTGGTCCAAGAAATATTTGTTGAACATATAACCGAATAATGATGGAGGGACCAGTCCCCAAATAGTGGCCGGTATTGAAGCCTTCACCAAAAGCGATGCTGTGGCTTTCAAGATGCTGGTGAAGATAAGTGATCAAAAGGCTGCTGAAAGGCTATAGCTGACTTGTGTTAGCTTTAAAGCATGTTCTGGGTGAGGGGAGAAAAAATTGTGTGAAAGCATCCCTGGGGAGCCACAGACCACAGACCTCGCTCTCAGCTCTGAGGTGTGTGAAATTGGAGGCAGTGATCATCCACCGTCCTGGAAGGCATCAAGGCAGGTACTGTCCTTTTGGGAGATCCAGGCTTTGCTCAAGCCAGAAGCAAAGGAACTAGTCAGTGAAGAGCTTATTGGATGTAAAGGGGTCTTTCTGGAATGGAAGTGTTCAAGTAAAGGGTAGCTATTCTTAGCATGTTCACTAATGTAAGAAAACAATAAAAACAGAAGGAAGAACATCTGGGAGATAGTGTGCAAACAAGGACAAAAGAAAAACCCTTGTGTTTTGATTTGGAAGATTTACTAACATTTCACAAATAGTCTATACACATGGACTATTACGGATAATGGAATGAGAGATACTAAGATATTCTAGTATTGTTTAAGGTCCACCAAATGCTGACATTATTATAAATGAAAAAGTTGCCCTTCAACTCTGAAGCGATACCCTTGCTGGTGGGTGCTATGCCTGGAATGCCCTTAGATTGTCACTTTCTAACTGATTTCAAGTTTGACTGGAAAGGTTTGATTTTGACCATCTGATGTGATGAAAGGGTTGGTGGTAATGCAGCATTTACTTTTTAGAAGGTAGGCAGAATGTAACTCTTTTAAGAAAAAAATGTTAATTTGATGTTTGAATTTTGGGTTGATAGTATATTGACAATTCTGTGGAAAAGTACATTATTGCTGTATATGACTAAACAAAAAGACAATATTGTAATAGCACTTCAATGAACAATCATATGTGGAGTGTTTACAATTTATACCACATGGTGCTAAGCATGTCACGTGTTTTACCTTACTTAATCTTGAACATGACAGTCTATTTTAATCCCATGTTACCCATGAGTCAAGAGACTCAGATATGCTAATACATGGTGTAATGTCTCACATATATTAATGGGCAGTTAGGATTCAAACACAGGAATATCTATTCGCAACCCAAATTCTTTCTACAATTCTTCCTAGAATGGTTGAATCAATACCCCTATCCTTGTACTTAGTTTGTGTTTTAGAACATTTATTATAAATACTTTGAGAGTGCTTTTTCTGGAATAGAGTTTTATTGTGCTTCACACATATATTTCTCCTATTATAATTGTTAAATTACGGAAATTGGCTACTCGATAGAAAGTTTCCAGAAGACAGAGTTTCCTACATCTTGTACATTTTCAAGTGAAAATGGGATATTTCTTAGATGTAAGTGAGAAATATGTTTTACGTTTAAGAAAATGCAACCATATAAATGTTAAGAAAGAAATCTATTGAATTAAAATTGGGGAAAAACGATGGTGGGTGATTTAAAAATGTACTGACTTGGTTGAATTTTACTTGATATGTGTTACGTTGAATAAGTGGACAGTGTGTCACTCTGCCATTTCTCTCTCTCTTTCCCCTTTTTATTTGGATTTTAGTTGTGACTTTTGAGAGCTTTGGTCTGGCTCATCTCATTGTGTATGTATTTCCTGTATAATTTGAATGTATAAAGCAGAGAAGCTTTTCATGTCTATATGATTTGCCATGAAAATTCACCATGTACCTGGAGCCAAAATCACGCTTAATATTTCATGGGGTTTTGGCTGATTTCCTTTCTGTTTCCTTCATTAAGCCAGTGCCATCAAGGCCAACAGTCCCCATATTTTGTGTCCAGAGAAGAGCCAGGCCAGATGGGAACTGCATGAAAGCTACCAGTTATCTTGCTAATTGTGCCAGCTAGAACCCGTTGTATTGCATTAAAAATGTGGTATCCAACAACTTATGTGTTCACACTCAATTAGCAGTGTGCTGGAGAATGGGAAGTTCAAGCAAGGAGTCCATGTGCTCGGGGAAGCGCCAGCTGCTTCCTCACCCAGCATTTAATATCCAAGTTCAGATTTCTAAAGAGACATTGCAAGAATGGATCATTTTTCCAGGGCTCATATACATCTTCTGTGTCACATTTAATAATTTTGAAGAGCTTCATGTAAAGAGAGCTCAGTGTTTTTTCTCTGCTTTACAACCTTTCTTTATCTTAGCCAGTATATAGAATTAACTGTACATGCAAACAACGAGCCGTTCACATATTTTAGAAAGGAAGAAGAAATCAGTAGAGAAAGGAGAGAAAAATAAATCAGGAAGAAAGACAACAATTAGCATATTTATCATAAATGAAGGAAGCAAAACATTGAGACTAATGAAGGCTCAAGTGTTTCATTTGTACCTCTTCTGAGATAAAAATAGCTTTAAACAGCAACTTACTTCATTGGCATTTTTCGTTCCACTGTCTGACTGTCACAGATGATGCGGAATTTTCTCTTTCTGACTGATCTTCAAGCTGAAGGTAACGTGACAGCAGGAACATTACAATTAGTATGCAAATACCTATTCCCAGGGTCATAAATTGGCATTCTTTCAATCACTGGAGTCTCAGCTTTTTGCATTTTGTTGTTAACTTTTCACTGGTCAAAACACTTCAACTTCTAAGTAACAAATAACTCTCTGAATAAATGTGACATTTCTCAGAGTCTGTGGCATACATGAAATGAATTCCGTTTGAAGGTTTGCTTTCTAAAGTTCATATACATCCCTTTACAAGACAGCTATTGCTCACATGAGGTTAAATCAACTCAGAAAAAAAATATATAAAATGTAATAGTCACCTTTAGGTTTTTAATCTGTCAATCATTTTGTTTTTCTTTGATTTTCAGAAAGTGTGAGGGAGGCTCTATTTTTAATACACTTATCTTAAACAACTATATATGTTTAAGTGTTTTTACGAGTTTATACATGGACCAAAATGTTCTAGCACAAGGCATTATACTTTTTTTTATATTTATGCATTTTTTTACAGCTTAATAACAAATATTTCTCTGTTTCTTTTAAGCATGAATCTCATGGAATTTCACACCAATATTTCCTTATGAAATGCTGATGTTTAAGGTAATATTGACTGAATATAGTCATCAAAATATGGGCCATCTATTGGTGTTTTTTATTT